GGGGGGTTGCAAACAAGCACTGTTGTGAGATATTTTCTTTCAAGTTTTTGAAGACAAGAAATTTCCACACTCCCCCGAATGGCAGCTATGTCAAGGGACGTAACTGATATAATAAAGCTACCCTACACAGTGCAATCACAGTTATATTCCTTACTGATCTCATCACGTCACCTTAGGGATTTTAGTGTGGGGCTTTTTTAAGAACTCTCATGTTGCCAGGCTGGGTGTAAGTTGTTTTTTGTATTGTGAGATATAGAAACCCCTCTTCAGTGTTCGCTCAAATGGCCTCTCTGGTAGGCTAGTCATACATCACTCCATGTAGGTTCTCCATCATGCTGTAGAGCCTATCCCTAAGTTCCAGGCGGGTGGTTGACGGATGCTCTAGTGTGGTTTGCTCCTTCTCTCTTATCAAATGTCTATCATTCTTAGCTCTCCTCCCTCTTTTTTGTGTTTGTTACTCTCTTGCAACGCCTCTAGCCTTCGGCACTTACATTTTTATGACCTAACTGTGTTGCAAGTGCCGTGAAACTCTTACTTAAACAAAAACAGAACAGGGATCTAATTGATTAAGGGGCATACCATTCTTGGAGTCAAGGCACCAGGCTTGAAAATGTTAAATTGTCAATGCAGGATTCAATACCTGGCTTTGCTGGGTAGAACATTGCACCCTTGGGAAAGGTCATTTATAGGGGAGTGTGCTAAACAACTGTAAACCAAAAGACAATAAAATCCCCAATTTTTTTTCTTCTAATAGAGCAACCTCTCTGCACTGAATGCCCAGCCCAGCTAATCTGAAAAAAATTTGGTGGTCTTGCAGATTTCGGTTTAAGCTGACTCCAGTGTACTTTAATTTTCAGCAAGTGGATGCTTTGTAAGGAATCAGTGAAGACGGACATTTGTTACACCTTGTGGACTGGGTTGAACTATTATAATGCTCAAACTTGCACAGCAGGTCATTTTGAAGTCATTTATAACAATTAAACTTATTTCGGATAGGGTACTTAACTTTTATATGAGCACTTTGACACTTGAGGCTTTGTGGTTGCTCTCCAGGGTCGACGTCTTGAGCTCCCAGAAGTCCTTCACCCGTACATGGATGGCCAGACGCACCTGCAGTTTGACGTGAAGAATGCTTCGTACACTTACATCAAGACGCTGAGAGACACGTCGACTGGCTCATGACCGACCTTTCAGTTTAGTACACATATTGAGCACAATGTTTTACTTTCATTTGTTTTTTCTTTTGGATTTGGAAAATCATAAATGAGCTCCAGCTGCCACATTGGCATGGTCAGTGCTTTTCATCATAATCTTTTTCTAAAATTTGCCGGAATTTGGGAAAGATAAAATGCTCCAGGCTTTTAACGACTAGCTATGTGGAAGACCACAATGGAACAATCAGTATTGGAGGCAGGACAATCACTAACTTGTGTTTTGCCGATGACATCAATGGATTAGCAGGAGAAGAACAGGAGCTCGCCACACTAGTGGAGCGGCTGGACACAACCTCAGCAGCCTACGGCATGGAGATCAGTGCCGAGAAAACCAAGCTAATGACCAATACACCAATGGCATCAATGCGGACATCAAAGTCAGGGGCGAGAAACTTGAGACCGTCAACAGCTTCAAATACCTCGGACCTATCGTCTCAGATGAAGGCTCAAGACCAGAAATTTTCTCCAGAATCGCGCAAACAACAGCTGCGCTGTCAAAACTGAAGCCTATTTGGAGGGACAGAAACATCATGCACAGCTCAAAAAATGCGCTCACTGGTTATCTCAATATTTTTATACGCCTGCGAGTCGTGGACACTAACAGCAGAATTAGAGAAAAAGATTCAGACCACAGAGATGAGATGTTACCGCAGACTCCTTGACATCTCGTACAAAGACCACGTTTCAAATGCTGAAGTACGAAAGAGAATCACCAACGCAGTGGGGCAAATGAAGATCTACTGACCACAGTGAAGAGACGAAAACTAAAATGGCATGGGCATGTCACAAGATCCACAGGACTTGCCAAAACAATCCTGCAAGGAACCGTACAAGGAAAGAGAAGGAGATGGGAGGACAACATTACAGAGTGGACAGGAAAGACGATGGGTGACAATCTGAGGAGAGCAGAAGACAAAAATAGATGGCGAGAGCTGGTTTTCCAATGCAGTGGTGCCCCAACGGTTGCCCCAACCACGGGATAGAAGAAGAAGAAGAAGAAGATGTTGAGTTATTGTTTTCTTACTTTAACTGTCATGCAACTCATAGTAACTTCACAGTCAATTTACTGTAGTTTTTTCTTGTAATTGCATTGTGCTTTTGCTCTGATATATTGACAAGAGAGAGAGAGAGAGAGAGCGAGAGAGAGAGAGAGAGAGAGAGAAAGATGTTTGCACTGTGTACAGAGAAAGTGCCATCATGCCCCATCCGCCTATGCATAGTATCAAATCGGAACTGAACTACAGTAAATTCAAGTGGCAGTTTTTGTATTTGGATATAATTTTGTTTATTTTGAGCAATGAATTTAGTCCTACATTGTATTGTTTTAACAAATTGTTCATCTCACAGTTCACTATGGTGAATAATTGTTGCCTTAACATAACAGTTACAATAATTGAATTATTTTGTTCCGTAATGGACATGTGATGAGAAATAAACATTCTTTTTAAAGTTTTGTTGTTGTTGAATTAAAATTTTTGTTTTGTTTTGTTTAATTAACTTCTAATTGAAGTTCTGTGAAAACTAAGTGTGATATTTTTATAAGAAATAACAGTCATCGAGAAATACCATATATGGAACAGACATCCATGATCATGGTTCTCCATTCATCTTATTGCTCATATTTTCTCCTAAAACCTATATCATCCTGGTATTTCCCAGTCACCCATCTGTTCAGGTGTTTTCCGAATAAGTTGTTCTGGGTCTACCTCTGCCCCATTTGCCTTCAATGATGATCATCATCATCGTCATCGTCTATTGTCAAACAATTTTCCTTTTTCCAGTTTTGTTTTTTCTTGAAGCATAGCAATCACTACTATCATGTTGGCACGTTTTCGGTGTAACTCACAAATCACATGACAAAAAATGACAGAATGTCATTCGAGTAAGAACCTAGCCAGCAAGATTAGATTAAGGAAAATTCCGAAAATTAAATCAGAATAGTCATCTTTGGTTACTTTTTCATCAACTGAAATGACCCCAAAAAGATGTGTGCACAGCCAAGAGTTTGACTGACCTTGTCTTATTATTATTATTACTGAAGAATCCACGCAGAGTGAGATGGAAACAGGACAAAGTAGGGGATTGCTGGGTTTAGGTGATGTTTACTTGTTTACTTGTGTGAAGGACCGACATCACTGCACAAGGGGCATTCCCATATAAGCGCTCCGTCCCCTGAAGAAGCAAATCTCGAAGCGTGTAGATGCTGACGGTTCCTAGCAATGGTTGATTCTATTGCCTTCTGCTCCTCCCACTCAGTCTTGAACTTCTGCAGGTGAAGTGCGATGTGGCTTTATCAAAGTTTATTCCATGGAGGCGCTACGTTAGCCGTGAAGACCAACCCGGGTCACCCTGAAACGTCGCTGGCCAACGGGGCTCTGGTGAAGCTATGACGGGCCTAACAAGCAGGTGATGGACAAAAAACTGCCAAAATCCAAAGAGAGCAGGAAAAGAAACGGACAGACTGGCGGAAAAAGGAATGCAAACGTTAAACGAACACGAGATAGAAAAACGAAAATTGGAACATGGAATGTGTGCGGATATGAGACAAAGAACCACAAATCATTGATTTACATACCAGTGCCAAACATGGTCTCTAAACAAGGCACAAGAAAGAAAAAAACTATGCATGCGAAATGAGGTGTCTCCGCATAAGAAACTAAACCATAGGTCTACAAATCGGAATACCACCAGTAATAAAATTCATAGAGCGTCAAAGAGTCAAATGGTTCGGAATCTCACCAGAATGCCTCAGAAACAACGAGCGGCTAGAGCTTACAACGCCCGAGAATCCGGCTTCAAATCAAGAGACAGAGAAAGACCTGGCTGGATCGTGGATGGGGTTAAAAAGGTCCTGAAACAACATACATAACATATCTATCACAGATGCCACACTCCTAGTACAAGACCGAAACGTGCACTACCCCTCGACATCCTGACTGTTCACGTCGTTTTAAACAAGAAAAATTCTGAAATTATGCAAACTGAGCCCAAAAATGAGAAATTATGTGATTCGGTTAATTTTAGCAAAGAATGATAAAGGAAAATAATCAGAAATTATGCAAAAAATGATCAAATTTTGCTAAATTATGCGGGGTGCATAAAACCACGGGGACAGTCCTAAGGATTCCAGAGGGAAGAAAAAGTAAAAAGTAACTCTTTATAGAGCTAGTACCGGTTCAGCTGGCCCACAGCAACGCTCTGTTGTTTCAGTCATGACAAAAATCTACGAAATCCTAACAACCCGTCTTGTTTGTAATAAAACTGCAATGACAATTCATTTCTTCTCAGTAACCTCGTCTGGTGTTTTATTTTATGTAAATAACCGAGAGTGTAACGACCGACCTATAGATTGGGATGACAAAGAAATAAATTGTCCTCAGAGAAATTCGCGCCCGCAACCCGCAAGTTGCGCGCGCAACTTTTGCCGTCAGCGCAACTTTTGCGCAACTTTTACGATTTTCGTGAAATCGCTAATTTTAGCCAATTTCCCGCAAAATTCGGAAAAATAATAATAACATTTCATTAAAAACACCGTAATTTTCTTCCACGACTAAAAATAACGTCGCCAAGGGGGACAATTCGCTTCTTTACACTTTGCACTAGCCTACGGGTGCCCGCCGCTGCCCAGTGACCCGGGTCAGGTCGGGTCGGGATGATCGCCCGACTCGTCGCCTGAAAACAACGTGTTTGTTTTGAAACGACAAGTCGGGCGCGATCAACTTGAGCCACGATAGCTGCTTTGCACCATCAATCTAGCGAGCAGATCGACCCTATAGTCTTGTTTGGACTAGTCTAGCTAGAGTAAATCAATCGTAAACACGGCCGTCTGATTACTTAGCTAGCTTTGTTCCGTAGCACCAGGGTAGATCTAGATCCTAGTATAAAAATTTGTGAAAGACTTTAAATTAAATCTTAGGCTAAGGAGGGTAGATCTAAAATGGATCGATTCATCCAGAAAATCCCTAAAGGGAAGGGGACGTTCACATAATATCATCTTACGCCAGGAAAAAAAAAGGGGGGGGGGGTCTTTGACTCCTGTAAAAGTTAAAGTGTAAAAAGGGGGTGGGGGGTCTTTGACTCCTGTAAAAGTTAAAGTGTAAAAAAAAAGGGGGGGGGGGGTAACCAATGTAAGATTACACTTTTGTAAGGTGAAAAAAATAATCAAGGAAAATGACAACGTAACTTTTTTTGTTAATAGCATAAAAGAGAGTAATTCTACACTATTCACTTAGACTTAGAGTTAAGTTCGAGCGGTAAGCACTGCATTGTGGCGATACAGTGAACCTCGAGCGGCAAGCACGATATATGTCATCTCGCACTTTATACACTGGTAGATATCTGGGCTACATGACATGTAGATGTAGTCTAATTTTGATTACACCGGTGCGGTTAAAGTGGTAAAATGACACCGTAAGTTTTTCTGGAAAAGTTCCGATATTTTTTATAGCGTATTGAATTATTATGTCACATGTATGTGTATGCATGTTTTTCAGAGTGATTGTACCACGGATTTGCGCAATATAAATGTCATATTATTATTATAAGCGAATAACATAATATACGGGATTGAGGTGGGTGGGTCGCAGGAAAGTGTAAAAAAAGTGTAAGGGCGGGAGGGGCAAAAAGTCCCAAACAAAGTGTAAGATTTTATTTGAACAGCCCCATAACTACGCCGGCCACACCTGCCCAACATCAGCGAGAGTTTAAGGACATGACGCATGTGTCAGGGGACAAACTGTTTTTGTACTCCAAGCATTTTTTTGGGGGGTAGACATTCACATTTAACTTTTGATTTTGATCTAACAAAACTCATATTGGTTACTTTTGATTGCAATGAGCATAGCAACAATACAACGTATTCCAATAGTTCTGTGGCATTGTTTTAGCTATACGAACGCCTTGCAACTTTTCTTGCAACTTTTGCTACTTTCTGTGAGGACAGAATAAAGATGTTTCCTGCTTCTCAGAACACATGTTGTAGGCTTGGATATAGTTTAGATATTCAAAGAAGCGTATAAAATGCTAACACCTGTTATAAAACACAATAATGTGTTGGTTGTTACAACTAGGCATGTACAAAAACTAATAGATTACAACAAAAACTGACAGTTTAATGACCGATCGAACAAGTTACACCAAAATTAGAATGACAACAAAATAGGCTTTTTCCACCTTTTCATAGCACATTTAGGATAGAGATTAGCCGTGCAAAAAGCCTACAAAATGCAAGCACCTGTGGTAAAACAAAATAATGTGTATATTGTTATAGCTAGGCATGCACAAAAACGAATAGATTATAATCAAAACTTAGAGTGTAACGACCAACCGAACAAGTAGGGCCTAACTCAAAAGATTAGAAGCGGATATAAAGGGAAGTTAAGGGTGTTCAAAAACTGGACGACAGATTTCAAATTGTCCGTGCTTTCAGTGCAAACTCTTTATCGTGAAGACAGTTTTATTACCTATAACTTCCTATTCTTGATATTTTTACACCTACCGCCCAGCGCTCATTTGGAGCCTATTCATCGATTCTTTAAAAAAGAAGAAAAAGAATTTTGGTTCCCAGAAAACTTTGGGATGAATTCCGGACTTAACACTTCTTATTTGAATACACACTGTCACGCTCACGCTTGTACCTCAAGCACAAAGATAGAATCATCATTATCATGCAGTGTCACTGTCAGATCTGTGGCAGACATCGGCGTTATTGGTTCTCCACAGGGGTGTGACGTCACTTCCAGAGCAGGTGGCGCCAAGAACAAACTGATGCGCAACGAATAGTATTGCCTACTTATTACAGGCCTATAAACGGTAGACCTACTATAAACGCCTCTTCGTTTAATTTTAATACTGATATGGACACCTACTTCCATGCGAGAAGAATAGATAAGTGCCTGTACAATCTTTTGTATATATAATGTATATAGAGAGAACTGATGATAAAGAACCAAGTTGGGCGCTCAAGATGCGCACAATCACATCACATCATAATTGTTCACACACAAAACAATAACTTTCCACAGATCAACAATAAAGCACACATTCACTGACAAGAACACGTATGCACTATTGCCCTCGGGGCGTCTTGAATATATAATGATCCCATTCCCTGATTCACTTGCAGTTCTGGTTTCTAGAAAGCAGATAGTCACACCTATTTTTAGACAGTTCGCAACCATGCCATGTCAAGACCGTCCAGGCTAACTACCACTCCACCCCCTCCTACAGGCGCCAAATCCATCTTGGCCCTGTGACCCAACAGTACAATCTCTTAGTCTTAGTGTGACGGGAGTACATGTTGTAGCATTTTTGGTTGAGTTATGTTCTTGGTGATATCTTTTGTGTCTTCGGTCAAACATCTGGATGGGGTGTGAAAGAAACTCTTTGCTATTCTTGAAAAGAAAACCCTGTCTTCAACTGATTGAATCAAATAGTTTATAAAACATTTTGAATTATTTTGACTAGACTTCACACCTAAACAATGAACACCCAGATGGGTTCAGGCAGAGAGTTTGTCCAGGTCGGAGCACCGGGGAACAGCGACTCTATTTTTAAAAACAGGGAAAAAATGTGTCCGGGGAACAGCGACTGCCCTAAGCGAATACCTCGTCTTGATGGTATTGATGATGGTATCGATACACCCACGGCCCGCCAAAAAGATTTTTTCATAAACATTTAAAACTATGTCTAATCGTAAAAATAACATCAAATATGGATCCAGCGTGTCCAAATTAATAAAATAGCTCGCGGATGACTGTTTTTCTTGCTGGATTTAGAAGATCACAAAAAGAAGTATTTTATAATTTATATAGATTCTACCAAGATTGCATCTTGTTGTAGTAATTTCCTATCATAAAGAGGACAGACAACAGTCACTTTTAACTGATCTTATAATATACCCCCCCCCCCCCTCAGTGTGAAGTGACATGATGTGGGAGGCTGTGACGCAAAATTCCTTTGAGGTTTGCCGCCGCGCGGGATTAAACTTTGCGCGCAGAATTTTCAAAATAATTATCGCAGCTAAAACTGATTTCTAGAGGTGGGCGATTCCTGTTTTTTTCGGTAACCGTAGATTCCCGAATATTAAAGGCTAGGAATCGTAGGAATCGGCGCCGAACCCAATTACTTTTTTTTTATAGCCAGTGATGTGATTTCTTCCAGTGGCTCTATGAATTCTTCCAGTGGTTTCGACCCGTACCCAGTATTATGATTGTATATGCAGTGACTAGCAGTTAGCCCGACCCCTGCAATGACCTCCGGAGAGTAGCAATTAGTCCGACCCTTGCAATTACTCCCAGCTAGTCCGAGTCCAACACCTGCAATTGTTTCCGGCGAGTAGCAATTACTCCGACCCCAGCAATTATTTCCGCCGAGTCGCGATACCTATGACTACTTCCGGCGAGTAGCAATTACTCCGACCCCAGCAATTATTTCCGCCGAGTCCCGATACCTATGACTACTTCCGGCGAGTAGCAATTACTCCGAACCCAGCAATTACATCCGGCGAGTAACGGTTAGTCCGATCCCTTTGATTACTTGAGGTGGGAGGGCGCTACCCCAGGCACTACCCCGCCCAGTCTCTACAGTATGAAGTCAGAGACCAACACTGACCTACACCGAGAAATGAGAGTTTATAATATAGGGCCTCGTGGGCAGACGTTACAGTTTTAGATTTGGAATTGAAAGAAAAGGGAATATTATTATAATTTAAAAACAACAACAGATGAATGAGAAAAAGGCGAAAGCAACGAATAAGTTTTGACACTGTATACCAGATCGATATAATCTTTGACAATGACTTTGCATCCCGACTACTCTTTCTTAAGTGTTCAAGATTCAGGATAACCTCGATTTCAGAACATAGCAAAGCACCAATATTTTTTTTCTTAAAAAAATACATTCTTTGGAGAAAAAATAAGATAAAATAGAGTAATTGAGAATCGTTAGTTTACGAAAAAGGGATCGGTTCTTTTTCTCAGAAGCAGTAATCGCAGGAATCGGTTCTGGAATCGATTCTTGGCCCACCACCAATGATAGTACATAACAAGATGGGCCACTTCTCTCTTTGAGCCAATTAAAAAAGTGTCCTCCAAATTTGGTGGCGCCCTCTTCACAAAAGCGCACTCTTTGCGAACAGAGTTACCCTACTTGAGTTTTAAAAAATCAAAGTGAAACTAGCAAGTTTTGGGATAAATTTCGGAAGAACGCTTTTTTTAAATGGTTACGCTGACAAAAAACCTCTTCCGGAGGAAAGGGTGATGGTTTTCTTTGTTTAATTTGACTTTAGAATGAAAGGCGAGAGGTCATTAAAATATAAAAAAACTAAAACTCCGCACTGAACGTACCCGAACTGCTGATGAACAGCAGTCGATCTGCGCACGCAAGGAGGTGCTATTCCTATTCTTCTTCTGGAAAAACGAAAGAGAGCTTCAAAACAGACTGCAGCGCCATCTGAAGCAAAGAGCATACTTCCTGCGGACACTTTTTAGGCTGAGTGGCCCATCTTGTTATGTATTATCATTGCCCACCACTACTGATTTCATTTTCGAAATCGACGTATCAAAATAAGCAGAGTGACTCACGTGGAACCTGATTTGATGCTAAATGTTAAAACTTGAGCAAACTTTGTTCTTCAATTTTCTATTTCCAATCTAAAGTTATGTATCAAGGTCACCCAGTGCGTTGCATGTGCATCTGACGTCAAAGCTGCTTAGGACTACACACTGCACACTGCACACTAGATATCTCCTATCTACTACATGTACTGCACAGTCACTGTACATTGTACAGTATGGTGACTTGGTCGAAAGACTATTATATTCCTTTTATTGAGATGTAGAGGCCTATATATCCCTCGAATGTCAGTTGGCGATTAAGTCCAGAGTCTACAATAACAAATTATTAAGAGAGGGCGTAGGGAGTTTGTGTCATTGGAATTCTACTTCGAGGGCCTCTTTTTTACGTTTGTTAAGTAACAACACACAGAATGCAGGCAAATTATTGCGAAGAGTCATCTGGCGCAAGAAGAAGGAATTTTCCCCAATTTAAAGGGAATTGGACACTATGAATTGGAATGTGTAAACAGAATAATAATGGAGTTTGATAAATCTGACAGTTCTACTATCGAATATCGAGGAATGTAATTCAATTTATCGCAGAGAGTAACCTCGGCTTTACATGTTAACCCTTTTCACGGCAACCTATTTATATCGCTTTGACCCATAGAGTTACCTCCTTTTAAACTAGAGTCCGAGAGTAGTTAATTATATCTTAGTGTCTCTGCTAGAGTCCGTACGAGGTCACGTGACACGGACACATTTGAGTTTGTTGGCGGCCATTTTTAATGTGGCTAAAAAGTTTGTTTACATGTGAGTGGGCGTGTCTCTGCTCTTAGTCTTACGTGTTTTATTTGATTCTAACGTTATGTTTTGATT